GGTTGCAAGTAATAAAATTGCTTTGCTCTAAAAATCTGTAATTCAGTGCTTTCACTAATTCAGATGGGCTTTCTCTCCATTCTTTTTCCTGGTAGATAATGAGAGGATTTTTTTTTCTCATCCCTCTGAGAATATGAGGGTAGTCCAGCCATGTTGGGAAACAGAAGATATGGGTTATCTTGGAAGGTGAATGTGGCTATTTTTATTGCTTTGGTCTTAAAGGACCTGTAATTTCAAAAGCGTGATAATTCCTTCCCTCTTAGTTCCTTCAGTTAACTCCTAGGCCCATATTTCCAGAAAGGATGTATATTTTTTTCCTGAAACCAAAATAAAAGCTTCTATCATCTCAATAAGGCAGCTTTTTAAAATATGGGAAAAAAAAGTTTAGGAACAAATCCAACTAATAGCCAAAAGGTAGAACCAACCCAGAAGTCCATACTTAGATAAATGGATAAACAAAACATTGTAGATCCATACAATGGAAGATTATTCAGCTTTAAAAGATGGAAATCACGACACATGCTACAACATGGATGGATCTGAGGACACTGTGCTAACTCAAATAAGCCAGACACAGAGGGTTAGATACGGTATGATCTCAAAAATATGAAATATTCCAAATAGGCAAATTCATAGAAACAGAAAGTAGCTTAGAGCTTGCCTGGAGGCAGGGGTGGAGGAATGGAGTCACTGTTTCATGGGTGCAGAGTTTGTTTTGCAAATTCAAGAGTTCTGTGGCAGGCTGCTGGTGATAGAAAAACAATGTGAACAAATGTGCTTAATGCCACTGAAGTGTACCCTTAAAAATGGCTAAAATATGGGCTTGGTGGCATGCGCCTTAATCCCATCTACTAGGGAGGCTGAGGCAGGAGAATCGCTTGAACCTGGCAGGCAGAGGTTGCAGTGAGCTGAGATTGCGCCACTGCACTACAGCGGGAGATTGTCTCAAAAAAAAAAAAAAAAGGCTAAAATGGTAAATTTTATGATATGGATATACACCCACAATTAAATTTTATTTTTTTGAGACAGAGTCTCGCTCTGTCACCAGGATGGAGTGCAGTGGTGTGATCTCAGCTCACCACAACCTCCGCCTCCCGGGTTCAAGCAATTCTCCTGCCTCAGCCTCCTGAGTAGCTGGGATTACAGGCATGCGCCACCACACCTGGCTAATTTTTGTATTTTTAGTAGAGATGGGGTTTCACTATGTTGGTCAGGCTGGTCTCAAACTCTTGACCTCGTGTTCCGCCCGCTTCAGCCTCCCAAAGTGCTGGGATTATAGGCGTGAGCCACCACACCTGGCACACAATTAAAATTTTAAAGAAATCTTCAGTGGTCCTAAAACAAAAAGAAGAGAACAAAATGAGTGCTACTTAATATGGGGCCAGCACAGTGGCTCACACCAATAATCCCAGTGCTTTGGGAGGCTGAGGCTGGAGGATTGCTTGAGGCCAGGAGTTCCAGACCAGCCTGGGCAACATAGCAGGATCCCATCTCTACCAAAAAAAAAAAATTAGCCAGGGTGGTGGCATGAACCTGTAGTCCCAGCTACTTAAGGAGGCTGAGGCAGGAGGCTTGCTTGAGCCCAGGAGTTTGAGGCTGCAGTGAGCTATTATTTCTTCACTGCACTCTAGTCTGGGTGACAGAGTGAGACCCTGTCTCTGAAAAAAGAAAAATATAAGTAAATAAAGTGAGTATGCATGTCTGAGATTTGTTTACCTGAATGTTCTGATTTAATGGGTCTGTCATGGGGCCTGAGAGTCTGCCTTGCTCACAGGCTTCACCTGAATCCCAACTTCGGAGGTCCTGGGAAGCCTTTGGATGGTTCTGCTTTCTTCGCTGCTAATTTAGGATCCACGCTAAATCATGCTAGTTACTTACCATGAATCAGCTTTTTGGCTTTCATGATATTGTTGCTGCTGTCATCTCAGTCTTCTTGTCCTTGTAGATTTCTGCATTCTGAGAAACTCCTTTAGTTTTATTTTAGTGGAGTATGTTGATGGGGTGAAATAAAGGGAACTGAGGTAGCATTCATCTTTAAAAGGAAGTTCCCAATTCTGTTTTCACTTTTTTTCTGGCTAAGTGCTCATTGTTGGGGGAGGGGAGAACACTGACTAATGTAGCGGAATCATCAGCATGTGTCAACATTCCCCTCTGACCTCAAGTTTATTTGAATCAATGTTGATGGAGCGCTAAGTATGTGCTGGGCATTGTGCTTGTCCTTGATAGTTGGTAGATGTGGTCCCTGCTTTAAGGAAACTAGTACTATATGCTTTAGCCCAAAGATGGAGGGCGGGGCACATAGATGACACAGTCTTCATGGAGCATGTTCTTATAGTCTGTTATATGCCACAGTTGTGAAAGCTGCTTCCTTAAACCTCACCCCCACTGTCCCACTCGGCAATTTCAGTCTCATCCCCAGATTGTTCTCCTTTATCTGTTTTAATGATTTCCACACCTATTGCTATCCTGATTAAAGTGGAAAGTTTTAAGCCATAGACCATGCTTGTTTCTGTGAAAGGTCTTTCTAAATTGTGTCCATGCCACTACATCATTCTTACTTCTACTTCAGACAGAATAATTGCTTTCTAGTTTGGCAGTTAGGGGAAATATAAACATGCCCTTTTTAGCATTGTGTGGAAGAAGAATTCTAACATGGCCCCCATGATTCACTCCCAGACCTGTATTGCATACACACCCTGAGTAATCCCTGGAACTGTGACTGTGATTAATTTACTCCCTTGACTAGTTATGTTCTATAGTATAATTGACCTTACGATCGGGAGATTATCCAGGTGAGTCTGACTTAATCACACCAGCCTTCTAAAAGCAGAGAGTTTTGTCTTGCTGCTTGAGGAAAGAGAAGCTGGAGATTCTTAGCATGAGGGAGATTCAAATGCACCTTTATGAGCTTGAAGATGGAGGGGGCTGTGTGGCAAGGAATGCCGGCAGCCCCAAGGAGCTGACAGCCAGCAAGGAAGTGGGGATGTCATTCCTATAACTACAAGGAACTGGAGTCTATTAATGACAAGAATGAGCTTTTAAGGGGCTTTTTTCCTCTAGAGGTTTTAGATGAGAACTCAATCCAACACCTAGATTTCAGTCTTGTGACACACTGAGCAGAGAACCCAGTCATGATGTGCTGGGCTTCTGTCTTAGAAAACTGTGAGTTAGATGCCTGTTGCCTAAGCCACTAAGTTTGTGGTAATTTGTTATGTATCAATAAAAAACTAATACACATATTAGTGTGCAAATGCATTTGAAAAAGAGTCTACAAGTGCTTTCAAAGAAGAGTGTATAGGCCGGGCACGGTGGCTCAAGCCTGTAATCCCAGCACTTTGGGAGGCCGAGACGGTGGATCACAAGGTCAGGAGACGGGTGGATCACAAGGTCAGGAGATCAAGACCATCCTGGCGAACACGGTGAAACCCCGTCTCTACTAAAAAATACAAAAAACTAGCTGGGCGAGGTGGCGGGCGCCTGTAGTCCCAGCTACTGGGAGGCTGAGGCAGGAGAATGGCGTAAACCCGGGAGGCGGAGCTTGCAGTGAGCCAAGGTCCGGCCACTGCACTCCAGCCTGGGCGACAGAGCGAGACTCCGTCTCAAAAAAAAAAAAAAAAGATAAAAGAAGAGTGTATAAGGCTTCCAGTGAAAGACCAAGCTAATGCTGCTTAGCTAGCTGGGCAAAGAAAGTCTAGCTACCTTACACATAATAGGAATTTAAAATATCACTGACACATAGGAAATATCAAACCATGGAGAGGGTATAGATTTAGAGAGAAGAAATATGAGCAAGTCTTGGCTCTCTTACTTTCTAGTCAGGGGAGGCCACTCACTCCTTTGAATCTCACCTATAAAATGAAGGGGTTGACCAGATGTAGCTTCACAATGTAACCGTTGGTTTTATTTAGCAAGCAATGTACTCAACTCATTTCCATAACTTTCTTTGATTTAGCCTAGCCCTGACCCAGTGGGTATAGGATAAGGGTTGTTGTCTGATGGATGTCTTTTTTGGGTAGTTTTTTAAAAAGCAGCTTAAAATTTTATGGGTTTTTAAGGATCAGTCCAAAATATTCCTGTCTCAGTACAATAATCTGATATTTGCATCAAAAAGCTACATCAAAATATACTACTTGGGGCCGAGGCAGGTGGATCACTTGAGGTCAGGAGTTCGTGACCCTAGCCTGGCCAACATGGTGAAACCCCGTCTCTATTAAAATTACTAAAATGCCGGCACGGTGGCTCATGCCTATAATTCTTGCCCTTTGGGAGACTGAAGCAGGAGGATTACCTGAGGTCAGGAGTTCAAGACCAGCCTGGCCAACATGGTGAAACCCTGTCTCTACTAAAAAAAAAAAAAAAAAAAAAAAAAAAAAAAAAAAAAAAATTAGCCTGGTTCAGTGGCATGCGCCTATACTCACAGCTACTCGGGAGGCTGAGGCGGGAGAATCACTTGAACCTAGGAGGCGGAGGTTGCAGCGAGCTAAGCGTGCCACTGCATTCCAGCCTGGTCAACAAGAGCTTAACTCTATCTCAAGAAAACAAAAACAAAAACAAAAACAGACAAAAAACATGCACCAAGAAATTGATCTGTAAAATCTGGTTTTGAAACTCGGGGCGGTTCTGGCTAGAAGTGTTTCTCTGCCCGGAACACCTGCTCATCAGAACTCATTCTGAGTGTGCTTCTGCAGCGCTTTAGGGGTGGGCACATAGCCCGTTCTTGTGCATCCCTGTGCATGAGTCTGGTCTGTTGAACTTAGAATTATGTGTAAAAGTCTGTCTGTGTGTCTAAGTACTGGTGTTTTAAAAGAGGTGGTTGCATGGAGCATCTGTGTTGCTAGTCTTTTTCCTAGGAAATGATTCTTCTCTGAGCTTAAGGATCTCGTTCACATTGCAAAATAAAAATCTGTGGAAAATTAAGGACACTCAAGTTGTAATATTTCAGGGATATAATGATATTTCAATGAGAAAATGCTAATTATGGAGAGCTTTCCTTCCCCCAGCACCTGGAGCTTCTTAACCTGCTACCAACTAGCTGCTGATTTTCATAAATTGGACGGTAAGAGGGGAAAAAAATCCCTCAGCAACTCAGCCACCAGGAAGATGATGGAAAGTGCCTGTCAGTCGTTTAAAAGCGAGAAAAGGAATACCTCAGCCGCCTCCCAAGATGCACGAAGCCTCCAGGAATATCAGCCAACCTGGGCTTTCTGCATGGAAAACAAAGCTGCCTAAATGGGTATGTTTTAAAACTCTAACTTCTGAGTTGCTCTCCTGGATATTTTCAAACATATCTTAAAAAGGCAGGTGGACTCAGTGGCTCACACCTGTAATTTCAACACTTTGGGAGGCTGAGGTGGGAGGATCGCTTGAAGCTAGGCGCTCGAGGTGCAGTGAACTATCATTGCACCTCGGCACTCCAGCCTGGGCGACAGAGTGAGATCCTGATTCTAAAAAAAAGCAAAAACCAAAAAAAAGCCAGAGGCAGAAATACCTCACTGTTGTGGTTCATGATTCTATCACAGACATTAATGAAGCCTTCTATCCACCCAAGGGGCACACCACTGTTTCCGCCTCCATCACTTGTAATTTGGCCCCAACGTTGCCAGCCCTCACTTGACATCTGACTTGTGAGGATGACTTCTGTGGGGCTAGGTATTGTTTCTTCTGTCATTTTTAAACAATACTAGAGGACAGTGGGGAGGGGAGAGGGAATCACAGCTCCCACACAAGCAGATGCCTATTTGAGAGTGTGCAAAAGCAGTGTGACATTCTGGAAATAGTAATCTCATTTCACTTCCTTGCCCATTCTTCACCATCAGTACAAATGACGTATTTTCTGACACTGGTTCAGGGTTTAAAACCTCAGGCTTTCAGAGTCTGCCCACATTTTTGAGAATTCTGTCTTAACGAATGTATGCCGTGAAAAGCATTAACCATTACTTTCATTCTGTTCTAGTGAAACCACCCAGCACTCTGCGCTTGTACAAAATCCTTTGGACTTTTAGTTGGGCGATAACTTTGCAAGTGGTTAAGCACTGTACAAATTAAACTTCAGTCATTCAGCAATGTTATTGAACACTTATATCTTCCCTTAATTTCCTTACTCTTCATATCTATGTTTTATGAAATTGAGGGCAGCACAGGTTAGCAAAAGTGTTTTGATCTTAGAATGCTTTTGTATTAATTCTGTGCAGAGTTTCTGGTAATTCACTCTCGCCATCTTAGCCATGTAATACCACAATTCCATAGATGGTGGTTGGACACCATGGGCTTAGGCACCACCTCCTCTCACTTCTGTTTGATGTTTTCAAGTGAAGTTAATTTACAGTAGGATATAGAAAGGGTAATGATTTGGGCAGAGAACTTGCTTTCCCTCTACCATATAATTGTGATTTTGACTCCACTTTTTGTGGTGTGTGTGTGTGTGTGTGTGAGAGATGAAGTCTCTGTTGCCCTCATTGGAGTGTGGTGGCGTGATCTCGGCTCACTGCAACTCCACCTCCCAGGTTCAAGCGATTCTCCTGCCTCAGCTTCCCTAATAGCTGAGACTACAGGTTATGTACCACCACACCTGGCTAATTATGTAGTTTTAGTAAAGACAGGGTTTCACCATGTTGGCCAGGCTGGTCTCGAACTCCTGACCTCAAGTGATTCACCCACCTCAACCTCCCAAAATGCTGGGATTATGTGCCCGGCTTGATTTTGACTCTGTTGAAGTCGAAGACAAATGATCCAGCAGAGATATTATAAGGTCTTATCCTGATTCTCAAATTGTGTGGAAGACAAATATGACTTAAAAATGACATTAACACAAAAGAGTAAGTAGAGGCTGAGAAATGGGATTGGATGAGGCATGTACTCCATGTTGGAACGCCTATTCAGTTAATCGAAGGGTGAAATTCTTGTTTGTAAAACAAAGTGCTATAAAAATGGATACCTGGAGACCGTATCCTGCTTCTCCCCCACAACTTTCAAATATTAATCTGAAAGGGAGAAATGAATGACCCAAAGGGGTCTTGAGGTAGAGAACCATGCTCTAGCTGTTTCTTGTTGGGCATGTGTGCATCTCAGCAGGAGGATGAATGGTGTCCTTCACCTATACAAGATTTTTAAGTTCCGGCGGGGCACAGTGGCTCACGCCTGTAATCCCAGCATTTTGGGAGGCCGAGGTGGGTGGATCACATGAAGTCAGGAGTTGGGGACCAGCCTGGACAACATGGTGAAACCCTGTCTCTACTAAAAATACAAAAATTATCCAGGCACAATGGCAGGCACCTATAGTCCTAGCTACTCAGGAGGCTGAGGCAGGAGAATCGCTTGAACCTGGGAGGCAGAGGTTGTAGTGAGCTGAGATTGCACCATCACACTCCAGCCTGGGTGACAGAGTGAGACTCCATCTCAAAAAAAAAATAATAGATTTTTAAGTTCCTAGGCTGCTGCTTGAGGTCTGAAGCCTCAAATGATGCAGCTAATGAGTGAGTCAACATGTTCCTTTTCTTCCCCTTATAAAAGGAGTAATACATTTAAAATGTAGAGGCTGGTTGCCAGCAGTGGCTTAGGTCTGTGAGGTCGAGGCTGATGAAGTGTACATATGTTGATTAAGTTTCAATCCTCTGCCTCCAGAAGGGCCTCGTCCCTCAGCCCAGTGTCATGGATGGCATCTCCATGGCCTCTTCTGCCTGGATGGAGGTCCCAGGATCTACATGCTGCCAGCTCCTATCCCTTGGCCATATATGGGGGCTCCCTTTGACATCTTCAGAGGATCCTGAGAACTTCTCCCGCAGCCTTCCTCTCCCAGTGTGTCTTAGTCTGTTCCTGCTGCTGCAACAGGAAAGCTCAGACTAGGTAATTTATACAAAACAGACGTTTATTTCTCATCATTCTAGAGGCAGGGAAGTCCAAGATCAAGGCATCAGCAAATTCACTGTCTGTTGAGGACTCAGCCTCTGCTTCTAAAATGGTGCCTTGTTGCTGTCTCCTTGCATGTTGAAGGCAGAAGGGTAAAAGCAGATGATTGTGTTGGCTGTGTCCTCACATGGTGGAAGAGGTGGAAGAGGGAGGCAGCTCTCTGAAGCCTTTTTTTTTTTTTTTTTTTTTTTTGGAGACAGAGTTTTGCTCTCATTGCCCAGGCTAGAGTGCAGTGGCACGATCTCGGCTCACCGCAACCTCCACATCCTGGGTTCAAGTGATTCTCCTCCCTCAGCTTCCTGAGTAGCTGGGATTACAGGTGCCCACCACCATGCCTGACTAATTTTGTATTTTTTTAGTAGAGACAGGGTTTCTCCATATCGTTAAGGTTGGTCTTGAACTCCCGACCTCAGGTAATCCGTCTGCCTCAGCCTCCCAAAGTGTTGGGAGGCGTGAGCCACCGTGCCTGGCCTGAAGCCTCTTTTGTAAGGCCATTAATCCCATTAATGATGATGGCGCCCTCATGGCCTATTACCTAACAAGGGTCTTGCCTCTTAATACGTTACATCTCCTTGGGGGTTAATTTCTAGTGCGTGAATTTTGGAGGAAGACATACGTCCAAACCATAGCACTATCTCATTTTACTTTGAGTCTCTCTTTGCTTCTGGCCAAGGCATTTCAGTTTCTTCTCTTTTGCTTCAGAGATGAATAGTCTTCTTGGGCCCAGAGCTGCAGTAGTCTCCCTTTTCCTGTGGTGCCTTGTTTTTTGTTCTTTTTTTGGAGACAGAATTTTACTTGTGTTGCCCAGGCTGGAGTGCAATGGCGTGATCTTGGCTCACTGCAACCCCCGCCTACCGTGTTTGAGCGATTCCTCTGCCTCAGCCTCCCGAGTAGCTGGGATTACAGGTGCCCACCACCACACCCGGCTAATTTTTTGTTATTTTTAGTAGAAACAGGGTTTCACCATGTTAGCCAGGCTGGTCTTGAACTCCTGACTTCAGGTGATCTGCCCGCCTCGGCCTCCCAAGGTGCTGGGATTAGAGATATGAGCCACCGCGCCCGACTGGTGCCTTGTTTTTTGTTTTTAAATAGCTCAGGTCTTATTTTGCCCCTTCCTCTCCTCCTTCCCACTTTCCATCTCTTACTGCCCATGATCAGGTAGCAGGAAAGGTGGGTGCTTTCATGTGGATTGTCAGGTTGATGAACTCTTGGGAGTCAAGTCAATGCCTTGTCTAACTCATCTTCCCTCCTCTTAATTTCCTTGTTTTCGACTGAGCATAATGGCTCATGCCTGTAATCCCAGCACTTTGGGAGGCTGAGGCAGGTGGATCACAAAGTCAGGAGTTGGAGACCAGCCTGGCCAACATGGTGAAACCCCGTCTCTACTAAAAAAAAATAAAAATACAAAAATTAGCTGGGCATGGTGGCATGCGCCAGTAATCCCAACTGCTTGGGAGACTGAGGCAGGAGAATCACTTGAACCTGGGAGGCGGAGGTTGTAGTGAGCCGAGATTGTGCCAGTGCACTCCATCCTGGGCAACAGAGCAAGACTCCATCTCAAAAAAAAAAAAAAAAAAAAAAAAAAATTCCTTGTTTTCTTGCATCAAAATTAAAGAACACAAAACTGTAAAATGTGAAAGGTCTTTGGGACACTAGGGGTAAATTTCCACTAAAGTAGAAGTCAGAAGCCTGGCCTTGAGTGCCCTCTGCTATTTTCTAGTTGGAAAACCTTTGACAAGTGAGTTAACCTTTTCTGAGCTTCAATTTCCTCATTTTAAAAGTAGACATCATATTGATCTTATCTATAGGGCCACTAAAAAGATCAACTGAGATAAGGTATACCTAAGAACTTTGCAAAGTGGCTGGGCATGGTAGCTCAAGTCTGTAATCCCAAAATGTGGGAAGCCAAGGCGGGTGGATTGCCTGTGCTCAGGAGTTCGAGACCAGCCTGGACAACATGGCAAAACTCTGTCTCTACACAAAATACAAAAATTAGCTGGGCCTGGTGGTGCACGCTTGTAGTCTTAGCTACTTGGGAGGGTGAAGGCGGGAGGATCACCTGAGCATAGGAGGTTGCGGCTGCAGTGAGCTGTGATTGCACCCCTGTACTCCAGCCTGGGTGTTAGCAAGACCCTGTCTCAAAAAAAGAAAAAGAAAAAATTATAGATAAGTGAAAACAAGAGAAAGCTTTGCAAGTTCTAAAAAGAGCAAGTAACCTATTTCAGGCAATATGCGAAGCATGTAGGAGAACAGTGAAAACAGTGCAGGAGGCCGGGCATGGTGGTTCACGCCTGTAATCCCAGCACTTTGGGTGGCCAAGGCGGGGTATCACTTGAGGTCAGGAGTTCTAGACCAGCCTGGCCAACATGGTGCAACCCCATCTCTACTAAAAATACAAAATTAGTTCGGTGTGGTGGTGCATGCCTGTAATCCTGCCTATAATTTTAGTTATTTGGGAGGTTGAGGTGGGGGAATCGCTTGAACTCAGGAGTTGGAGGTAGCACCATTGCACTCCAACATGAGCAATAAGAGAGAAACGATGTCTAAAAAAAAACCAACCAACCAAACAAACAAACAAAAAACAGTGCAGGATTAAAAGTGGGAAGACCGGTTTGAATCCCAAACGTGGCATTTCCTAGCTGTGTGACTTTGGTAAATTACTTAATCACTTAGAAGTTTATTTGCATCATTTCTAACATAGGGACAATAATGTGAGGCAAAATGTAATGCTGTTGCTAGATATCAAAAATTACCATGTGTTTACAAATGTTAGCTGTTTCACTGTTATTCTCCAAAATTATTTAGTGTAGTGATACAGAGAATAATTTTTGGATATATTTAAAAGTACCATACTGTTTGAATCCTGGGAAATGAAGGAGTATTTCTTGCAACCTCTTTTGGAATCTAGACATTAATGTAAGGAGACTGGCCAAGTTTCTTTATCTTCCACATAAAATAAAGTTCACTTGATTAAGTGTATTATTTTATTTTTTTTTCCAGGATCTTGAGATACAGGAAAAGTTTTCTATCTCATATTTAGCAAACCTAATTCGCTACCTGTGGTACAACTTTTCAACCCTTTAGTATTTTAATGTTTACATTTTTAAAAGGGAGGTAAAAAAATTTGTCTTACTAGGTGGGGTGGCTGTAAAGGTAAATTGAAGTAAGTTAAGGATAGATTTTGGAAACTTGAAAGTTAACATATTTTATTGCCATCTTTTCAATATATTTTGTAACAAATATAAAACTTTTGTCCAAACGTACTTTGTTTAGGACAGGCTTAAAAATACTAAAAAACTAAAATGAATTAGGTTCTTTCATTATTTAAAATTATTTCAAATTAAAGGTTTGTTTCATTAAAGTAGCCTTGACTTTCACAGTTCAAAATAATGTTAATATAAAATACAGTTGAAATAATCTTTCTAAATAACGGAAACAGAAGTTTTAATATTGAAATTTTATATATCGAATAACCTATTAGCAAAATTTGTAATGTTTCAACCAGAAACAGAGAAATCAACAAAAACATGCAATTTTTTTTTTTTTTTTTTGAGACAAAGTTTCGTTCCATCACCCAGGCTGGAGTGCAGTGATGGGATCTCAGCTCGCTGCAACCTCCACCTCCTGGGTTCAAGCGATTCTATTGCCTCAGCCTCCTGAGTAGCTGAGACTACAGGCGCCCGACACCACACCTGACAAATTGTTGTATTTTTAGTAGAGACAGGGTTTCATCATATTGGCCAGGCTGGTCTCGAGTTCCTGACCTCGTGATCCACCTGCCTTGGCCTTCCAAGGTGCTGGGATTACAGGCGTGAGCCACATGCCCGGCCAAAACCACGCAATTTTAAGGAGTACTCAGACACGTCAGTGTATCACACATCAAACAGATACCAAATAAGAATGCTAAGGATTTGATCAATGTAATTAATAAGTAGAATTAAGAGCTACATTGTATTTTGTATGCCACTGAGAATGGAACCTTTCAAAAGATGCACAAGATTTATTTCCAAGAGTTCGTCATGTCTTTGTTTCCGTTAGTTTTAAATGTCTGGATAAATTGGTGATTCTTTACCATTAAGTTTATAATAGTTGAGTTCTACTCTTCTAATCTTCTATTCTTAGAATAGGTGTGTAGGGCTCTGGCTGAAACAAGTGGCTTTGAACAGCTGGGTGTGGTGACTCATGCCTATAATCCCAGGACTTCGGGAACCCGAGATGAGCAGATCACTTGAGATCAAGAGTCCGAGAGCAGCCTGGCCAACATGGAGAAACCCTGTGTCTACTGAAAATACAAAATTTACCAAGGTGTGGTGGCAGGCACCTGTAATCCCAGCTACTAGGGAGGCTGAGGCAAGAGAATCACATGAACCCGGTAGGCGGAGGTTGCAGTGAACCAAGATCGCGCCACTGCACTCCAGCCTGGGCAACAGAGCAAGACTCTGTCTCAAATGAATGAATGAATGAATTAATGAATGAATGAATGAATGAATGAAAACAAGAGGATTTGAACACTTCTTCAGTCTAATGAGACTGAACTTTTGCCACCAGTTACCACCCCTACCCCCATCCCCAGCCTTTTCTAGTCTGCATAGAACTTTGGGGAAGGGTTGAGGAGGAGAAAGTCTCTTCAACTTTATAGAGGACATGGGAGAGACAATTCCAGGAGACACTTGCCATGAGGATTGGGGTGCCTGCAGGAAGGCAGCATTAGCATTGGATTTTCTGGTTGAGTGACTGCTCAGGCTGACTTGCCAACCTGCCCCTATGCCTCTCTGGGTTGGGAGAAGAGAATGAAGAACAGCAAGAAGAGGACTGCCAATGGAGTAGCCCACATATCTCCCTTTTAGTTTGGCAAGGATATGCATGGTCTCCAAGGGTGAAGTGGACACTGGGAATGGCAGTTGGTCCCGAGTCATCTTGCTGGAACTGTCCCTAAGTGGCTGGCTTTTGGTAATGGGAACCAAGGCAGTGAGGGGCTACCATAAGACCCTCAGAGGAATTCACATCCCAGCCGGCATTATCCAGAGACACAATCGTGGCCACTTATGCAGGGAGACATTTGCCTTTCTCTCCCTACCAGTTCCTTGTGGGAGGAGGATACACTGGAGGCGGGGGAACGAGAAAGAAATGT